CTAAAACCCCTTATCTCCTAAAACCTAAACCCATATTAAACATAATAATTAAAAAGTCACAAAAAGACTATTTTATTTTTATATCATATTTTATTTCATTAAAAACATTAAAAAACACTTTAAAAACACTAAAAACACTCTAAAACACATTTGCATTACATAACAATTAAAAACATATTTATTATTAAAAAAGTCAAAATTACCATTAAAATAATTATTTTGTAAATAGTTTTCATTAAAAAGTTACATTTTATATTCATTTGTTCAATAAAAGTAAAGAAAACCACATTGTAAAGTCAGTTTATACTTACCTTATTCAATACAAACCTCTCTGTTGTTTTCCAAGGGGGTGGAGCCCTGAGCATATAAATACAGGCTCCCTCTTTCAGCTCTTCATTCTGCCTGCAGACACGGCAGAGTACAGAGCTCCCAGTATTAAGAGAAAGTGTGCAAAGGACCTGAAGAAGACTTTTACAGTCGAAACGTCGTCCCAGGCACACTATTCGATTACACATTAGTTACTTCATTTATTAAAAAACATTGTTTATTAAAAAATTATTTTTTATTTTTTTATTTTTTTATTTTTTTTCGAAAAACTTAAAAACACCAAAAAAACTAAAAAATTTATAAAACATACAAAAAAAAGTTTAAAAACCTAAAACAACAAAAAAATACTTACCTTTATACTTACCTTTATGTTTACGTCAAGTTTCCCTTTTGGAAACCCTCTTTAAGTTGTTTGCCCCCCTTTAAAAATCATTATTATTATTTTTTTTGTTTGTAAATTCATTTGGAACATTTTAAAAAAATGGCTGATGGGTGGACAGTGGTCCGCTACGGCCGCAGGCAGACCCGCCAACTCCAACGTGACCCTCCGCCGAGGGGTCCCCGCTGGATGGCCCGTGTCAGATCCCCCGCCTTTCAGCGGGGGCCTCAGTATGTAAATCTAACCCTAACCCTAACCCTAACCCTAACCCTAACCCCTAATCCCTAACCCCTAACCCTAACCCTAACCCTAACCCCTAACCCCTAACCCACTAACCCTAACCCTAACCCTAACCCTAACCCTAACCCTAACCCGTCCAATTTCGTGGATCTTTATCAATTTTGGGCAAGATATGAAATCATTTCTCTCTGGGTGTTTTATTTGCTATTAAATATTTTTGTTCCGAATTAATGTATTTGTTTGTTTTTAATGTATTTATTATTTTAGCCACCATGGGAATCTTTTCTTTAAATATAGTTTTTTCCAATTTTTATAGGGGGCTCGGGCCTGAGGAGTTCACGTGGCGGCCTCTGCTCCAGGGGAGGGGGTGCCATAATTGGATCGCCATCAGGTATGGGGTCCATTTCCCCAGTCTCCGTCATAGTGGCGACGGAGATGGCGTGCGGCGGTTGGGGCGGGGCCTGTGGGCCGGGTTCCAGGATGGACTGATCCTGTGGATCCTCGGCCGCAGTTTTCCGCTCCTCTACTGCCGCCACAGGTTGGGTAGGCGCTGCTGCTGAGTCCCAGGGTTAGGGTTAGGGTTTGGACTTGCTCACCACACCCCTAACCCTGACCCACATGGATGGCCTGTGCCAGATCCCCCGCCTTCAGCACAAAAACCTAACCCTAACGTGCCTGTGCACCATTGTCTCTCCCTTCACGGGGAGAGGCAGCTCTGTCCCTCAAACCTTACCCTCACCCCTAATCCTAACCTTAACCCTAACCAAAGTGAAACACACGATGGAGAGAGCTGTAACACCTCCCAGGCCAAGCCACCAGCCTGGTTCCCATCCAGTGGTCCAGAGCCCTGACCTCTGAGCCCATGGCTGACAGCTGCTGCCATCTGCTCTGACCAGAGCCAGCCTGGTTCCCATCCAGTGGTCCAGAGCCCTGACCTCTGAGCCCATGGCCGACAGCTGCTGCCCACTGCTCTGACCGGAGCCAGCCTGGAGCCTCCCGCTGGACACAGGCCGCCTCTGAAATGTGGTCCAGAACCAGGATCAGCAGGGTCCAGACTCACCTTCATCATCCCAGCCGTATGGAAACGGATCTCTGCGTCATCATGGGGATCACACCCATATCCTCCTGGTCAGTATCTCAGACTGGGAGGAGGACACCTGTTCTCGGACGCTTTGAGGTGGTTTTTCTGTTAGTGATGAGAATCAACGCAGTCCAGCAGCAGAGGACCGGTGGTCTTTACCCTCAGCTGGTCCTCAATCAGGACACCAAGACTGCAACTGCCTTTGATGGAGCAGAGGCAGATATTCAGTTCTGATGTGAGTCCTGAGGCTGGTCTTGCTGGAAAGATGCGGGTCCATAAGGTCCAAAAGGTCCTGATGGTCCAAAAGACCCAGGGTGCTCCGGAAAGCACCGGAGCAGGCGGACCCCCCACCCCCACGTTTGAAAGAACCCAGAAAGCACAAAACCCAGGATGATTTAAACCATTTATTCAGAAAACAGAGCAGCGTGTGGTCCCAGCAGGACTCAGAGGTCTGGCCCGGTTCTGGTCTGGTTCTGCAGGCCCTCAGAAGTAGCCTGTGGGGTCTCTCTTGTGGCTCATCTGCAGGTGGGAGGTGATTCCCGGGTACAGCATGGGCAGCATGGTCCCGACCCGCTGCCCCCCCCACCGGCCCGGAGCTCCGGTCCGGACTCACGTAGAACAGCCTGAAGCACAGACCTGCAGGGAGAGGGAGAGCTGTGGGTCAGAACCGTGGAGGGCCAGAACCAGGCTAGAACCAAGCCAGAACCAGGCTAGAACCAAGCCAGAACCAGGCTAGAACCAGGCTGGAACTGAGCCAGAACCAGGCTGGAACCGAGCCAGAACTGGGACAGAAACAGGCTGGAACCGAGCCAGAACCAGGCTGGAACCGAGCCAGAACCAGACTAGAACCAGGCTAGAACTGGGACAGAACCGAGCCAGTACCAGGTTAGAACTAGGCCAAACTGGACCAGAACCGGGTGGCGGGGCCATGGACCTCCCCCTCTCCTCTCAGGTTGGTTCCCTGGTGGATGGCGGCCTTCTGGGGGTCGCTGTAGACGATCAGCTTCCAGTGCAGCGTGGCGTCAAAGAGTAAAGGTCAGATAAAAAAAGGCAAGGTCATTACAAGGTCAAACAAAAAGTAAAGGTCATTTCAAGTTTTAAAAAAAGTCAAGGTCATACAAAAAATGTCAAGGTCATCCAAAAAGGTCAAGGTCATTTTGAG